AGACCATCACAAGAGGCGAGGCCACAAGCACTCATCATCATGCTCTTCTCGTGTGTGCCTTATGGTACGAGGTAACGAAAGCTCATCCTCTAATGAGAGTGATAGTGGTGATGAAATGCCTTCTCTTAATAAACTTGTGCAAGAAAATCTTAAATATGCTAAGGCTTGCACTAGCCAACAAAAGAAGCTAAAAATGTTGTAAGAAAAGCTAGATAGTTTACAAGAAACATATAAAACCTTGCTTGAACAATATGAGACATTTGCTAATCTCAATATTGAACTATCTACTAAAATTAAGCAACTTGAGGCTAGTGCAACAACAAATACATGCACAATCAATGATGAGCAACTTGTAAAGAAAAATAAAAAATTAAAAGAAAAGTTAGCTAGCTCACAAGATGCTTATAAAAGTTTACTCGCTAAAATGGAAACCATGTGCAAACATTGTGATGAGCTAACTAATAAAGTTGATAATCTTGAAGCCGTCGGTACAACCCCCACCAAGGCACATAAAAGAAAGGTTCAATCTTTGACATGCCTAAAAAGGATGCCTCTACTTCTTGTAATAATTTATGTTTAGACTCACCCTTGTGCAACTAAGTTTGTGTTGAGAAAGTTGTTGTAAAAACATGCACACAAGAGGTCGCAATGGAGAATGAGCAATTCAAGCAAGAAGTAGCTCGTCTCACCAAGGACTTGACTCAAGTGCAAGGAAAGACAGAGCAAGCCCAACTTCATCAAGACAACACCGTCAAAGGAGTGAAGAAGCTTGATGAAGGACAAACCATTGTTTGCTACATATGCCACAAGGAAGGCCACAAGTCTTATAAGTGCAAGGTGAAGAATGGTGGAGGAGCTAAGAAGAAAGAGAAAAACAAAAAGGAAACAAGCATGCTCTCCAACACCTACACCAACAAGGTGGACAAAAGGGCCTCCACACCTTATCTCTTGAAGAAGAATAAAAATGACAAGGTGATGGCCATCAAGGTGAACAAGCAAGCCAACAATGGGGCCAAACGCATTTGGGTGCCAAAGGATATCATTTCCAACAAGAAGAGCACCAAGAAAGTTTAGATCCCAAAAGGGAAGTGAGAAGTCCGATGGACTTTAGGGAATTTGGAGACTTGGCAAAGTATGGGTGTATTTCATGGGGTGCATCACATTGGATCATGTCAATTGCCAAGTGGGTTAGTGAACACTATGGACCTAAATTCCCCTTCCCATGTTAGGTAACTAGATTTAATTTCTTGCAATTTCAATTAGCATCTAATTTCTTTTCATGCCTAGGTTTGCATTTGCATGCTTAAATCCTTTGTCATGCATACACTAGGAATATCTTATGGTAAGCTTGCTCGGTCTCACTCTTAACCCTCGGAGCAAACCTACATGGTTTAAATTGTTTAGGAGCATGGCACATAGCTTATTTTACAATTGTTTATCTAATATGTGTCAAAGTCCAAATTGTAGATAATTTCTCCTGAATATCACTTTCGAAAATGATTCTCACATTCATGTGATGTCATCTTTCAAGTGGTATTTTTTATTCTAAAATCAATGTGCATGTCTCCTACAAGTATTCCATACTTGTGTGCATAAATTTAGGGGGGAGGTTACTGTACAAGTTGAATGCCTTGAGACTAACACCTTTTCAAGCTTATCATGTGTGTAGTAGTCTCATTGCAAGGAAAATGGAGTCTCCGGAGTTAAGCATCATACTTCAAATATCCACCACCTATTGCAAGTGGTATAAATCAAATTGGTTTCCACATGTGGTATTTCTAAACCGATATCATCATGTTGATTTCACTTTGTAATTTATATGCTTTCTCCATGCATTATATAGATTAAACTCCCTTGAACATTAATTTGCCAATTATGCATAAATTACATTTTCCATCATATGTATGCATATATTTAGGGGGAGCTTAGTCTATGTAATGTGAGAGTCAAATTTTGTGACCTATTCCACTCCACATACAAAGGATCACAAAGTTTGACCCTCCCTTGTGCTACTAATGTCTTCCTTTTTGGTGTTTGATTCCAAAGGGGAGAATTTGTAGGACCAAAAGCAAGTCCGATCATAATAATTTATAAGTGGTAATGGTCTGAGAAATGGAGGACAGTGGATTATGGAGTTAGGGTGAGGCTTAAATCCATAATGCCACATGGGGACATTTGCAAGGGCAAGATAAGTTTTCAAAGATATTAAAATGTCGTATCTTTTAGCATCATATAATCTTACCATTTGCATTGCATCCTAGCAAGTAAATAGTTTTTAAATTCCAAAACTTTCTTATTATTTGCTTGTTTTGGTCGTGTTGTCATCAATCACCAAAAATGAGGAGATTATAAGGAAAATGGACCCTAGGCCCATTTACTTTGGATTTTGATGTTTGATGACCAACAGAACTAAATCGGACTAATGAATTTGCAAGTAATTGTTTTGTAGTTCAATAGGGTGCAAGACGTGACTTGGACAAAGGCGACATGATGATTCCACGATCAACACCATAAGCAAGACCCTAGAAGCACAAGAGAAGACCCAAGATATCAAGTATAGTCCTAGCACAAAGATGGGAACCAAGCCGGACACAAGATCGCGAAGAAACAAGCTTGGCAGAGGTAACCGGACATGACCCTTATAGGGACCGGACACGTCCAATCAGTTGCTCGGCAACAGCAGGCGTCAGCAGCTGTGACCGGACGCTAAGCGAAATAGTGACCGGATGAACCGATGACATTGTTCTTCGTCATGCCAATGTTTTCAGCGTGACCGGACGCAGCGACACTAGACGATCGGACGCACAAAGTACAGCGTCTGATCGAGTCCAGAGAGGTTCCAGAGCGGCGCCAGCGTGACCGGACGCGTCCGATCGAGTGAGACCGGACTTGGCCCAGAGTCCGATCAACGCGCGCGCTCTAACGGTCAGGACGACCGAACGCATCCGGTCAGGACGACAGCAGCGTCTGGTTAGTAGCAGAAAGCTGGGTTTCACCCCCAACGGCTACTTTCTTGGTGAAGCTTATAAATAGACCCCCCAACCGGCCATTTGAGATGTGGAGAGTTGAGAAAACATACCAAGGGTGTTGATACACCATTTTAGTCATCTCCACTTGCATAGTGCTTAGTGATTCGTTAGGTGATTAGCATAGGTGCTTTGCGAAGTGCTTAAGTTGATTAGACCACCGCTTATGCGCTTGCTCTAGGTTTAGACCTAGTATTTAGTGAGGTTTGCACACTTCTTACCACTCGGTGCTTGCGCGCACTATTGTTGTACATCGAAGGGGCTTGTAGTCTTGCGAGATCGTAACAACCGTGTTTGTGGTGTGGCCGCCACCGTGTACCGAAGGGAACAAGGCCCGCAGCAGTTCGGCCGGAAGCTTGATAGTGAAGACGGCGGGGAGCATCCGGAAGAGGCTTGTCGGAAGGCACGTCGGAGACCCACTTGCATGTGGGGAAGGCCCGAGGCTATCCACGAAGTTACCTGACCAGGAGCTTGGCCCTTGCAAGGTATTCCTTGCGAGGGGCTCCAATGAGGACTAGGGAAGCTTGCGCGCTTCTCGATACCTCGATAAAATTACCAGAGTCATCGACGGGAGTTTGCATATCTCTACCTTACTCTTTAGCTTCCGCATTTACATTGCAATCTTGGTGTGTGCTTTACTTTCCTAGCTTAGTGATAGGCTAGTTGATAGGATTGGAACATAGATTGCATAACTCCTTTTGCAGTAGAGATAGCAACACACCTAGTAAAACCGTAGTTATACATTTAGATAGATTACTTTACTGCATAGGTTTTGACTAGGTGAAATTAGAGACCTTAGTTAGAAGTAGAATTTTAAGTTGCCTAATTCACCCCCCCCCTCTTAGGCGTCACGGTCCCTTTCAGTGTGTACTCTCCTCAAAGTTTTTAGTGTTTTAAGCGCTTGGTTGGACGGTGTTGGGACAGCGACCAAAATCGAAAGAAAATTGGATTAGGCTCGCATTACGCCCCCCCCCCTCTGATTGCCTTGCTAGGTCCTTCGCTATCTCACCTTATCTCTCTATGTCCTAGGGTGATACATAATAATGTTTCATTTTTCTTTCAACACAAAGCAGTTAAAGGTGCTTTCTAAGCTATATCCACATGACAAAAGCAACAAAGAAAAATATACATGAATGAGCATGAAAATTTTATCACAAACTTATATAGGGAGAAACAAAAAAGAGAGAAATTACACTATAAATAGTAGCCACATGCAACCATAACATTAATAGTTGGGAAAATTGGTTGTGTAGCGTCCAAAGAACGTGATCTCCGTAAATTATCATTGAAAGTTTGTGCCCCCGTAAAATAGCACCGAAAGGTTGGACCATAAACTGAAAGTAACATTCCGTCAGCTTTTAGGTAACCTGACCTAAAACCCAAACATGGAGTTACCTATTTGCCCTTACCTTATCCTTATCTCACTCATCGGAGATATTAGGAAGCAAGCACGCGGGGCGCTCGGTTCTACTGCTCGCGCGCCCCTAACGCCTCCTCCGTTGGCCGCCGCGCGGGCCTACGCACAGCCTCCACCAGCCGCCACGAGTGTCTGCGCGGCACCTCCGCCAACTACCTTTGTAATTTCATCATCGGTACAAAAACAAGCACACAGACAGGCACGATCGAGAGGATATGAGGCTTGCAAGAGTCACAATGGCCATGGAGGATGGTGGTGGCGCGCGTTGTCGATCCAGCAGATGCAGCAGCTGGCGGCGGCCATGGCGACATGGCATACGGGCGTGTGGAACCGCTATCGTTCTGGTCTACACCGACGCCATACGTCTTCATCGGCTTTGTGGTGGTGATGGGACTCATCGCCGTGTCGTTGACCGTGCTCCTCTGCTCCCGCCACAAGAAGGAGGAAGAAGGCCGCCGCGGCGCGGGCGCGGAGGCGGGCATCATGTCCGTCGTGTGCATGCTGTCACCACTAGATAGGGAGGACGCCATGCCCAAGGTGCTCGTCGACTCGTCGGGATGGCTGGGCACAACACTCTGTCATTCCTCGCTAGCGCCGCGCCGTTTGCTAGCTTTGCTGACGCCGACAGGGCAGCCAAACCACAGCATGACAGCAGCGGCAAGGACGCCAGCGCCGGTGCCGCCACCGCCGTGTAGGCTACCGTGCAAATTAGTTACGGGGGTATTTTGGTACGAGATAGCAGCTCCGTCACTTTATTTTAACATAATGGTACTTTCAGTTGACGGTCCAATCTTTCTTTCAGTGGTATTTTACGGGGATACAAATTTTTTATGCTATTTTACGGAGATCGTGATTTTTTGATGCTACACAACCAACTTTCCCTTAATAGTTGCAACATGCTACGACTTATAGTTTGATTTCTCTTGTTTTGGTTCTCCTTACACAAAAGCTTAAATTTTAGGTAGAAAATTACATGATGTGGCCATCGAAAATCTTATGGGCTATTGGGATGGCCAACAGGAAAGAGAGATAGTGGGTTAGGTCATGATTGGCCCAAGGAAGCAAGCAACAAAGATAAGAATGGGACAGTACCACATGTCGGTTTAGGGACTGTCCCTTTAATTATGAGTTGTACACCCACATGCCGATTTCATGTTAGAGCATCACGTCAACTAATAGACTGTGGCATAGCTACTTTGAATAGGGATTAGGGTATAGTTTGGAGTCCTAAATATAATTTGGAGACTCTAAATGGATTCTTGGAATTGAATTTATTTTAATAATCATAATTTAGATACATATTAATTAAACTAATATGGTTGTATATAGATTATATTTGTATATTATTGTTGACTACAGGAGAGATTTTTATGTGTTGCATTTCTATCGTAGGGGAGCGAATTGAAGAGCGTGTTATAAGTTGTAAAGTAGAAACATTGAATGGTGGCCTCTAGAATCAACTTCTATCTGTCATCCTATGATTTTGAGATAGGCTTATATGTGAACTTTAAAAAATAGTGGAATATCAAATTCCAAACTAAATAGCCTAATTTATTAAGTAGATTTTAATTTCTCTAAATAAAAGTATCCAAACGGTCCTAATAGTTTAGAGACTGCTAATGTAATAATTTACTCTTATTTTAAGAAACTCAGATACCAGAAGCATGACAAACCAACAAATATACCGGGCGTCCGAATCTAGAAATTCTAGCACAAGATTAAGAGTAATGAGCAACCTTTCGTGTGATGAATGTGGTGGCGTCCCCTCCCTGCTATTGTTCCACAGGAACTTTTTTTCTTCTTCGGGCGTTTCCCAACGCTCGTTTTTTACTAGTAGCTTCAAGTGCCATATAAGATTAGATAAAAAAGTAGATGCTCTATATTTATCATAGTAGCTTGCATTGTATAAATAGTAGTCTTAATATTTTTTAATTTATATGGATCCTATATAGAACCACTCAGAGTATTAGCCTCTGTGATCGGTGCACTCAGATGGTCACGGAAAAGTTGTACAGCGGAAAGCAACCAGTGACGTGAGGGGTGACCTCACCAAGAAAAGCAGGGCCTCCAAGCACGAACCGCCGGCGATATAAATGTGGACTGGATCATCCCATCTCAGTGCCCAACTCTGTGTCTCCAATCTCCTCTTTACACACGTGACCTTTTTACACCGTCTTGCCCAAGAATTAGCTTTCAATTGCATAATATGGAAGGAAGCACAGGCAACCAATCTGAGAAGCAGTGAGCATCACATCTCTTTGGCAGCAGTACTGCAGTAGTACTATAAGCAATGTCTAATGCATAAGAATTTACAAGAGTGCTATCTCAGTCAAATGTAATTTTTAACAGGAAATTTGTGATATTAATGTCATTTTTTTCTTTGTTAACAGGATTGCTATGGTTACAGGAGGGAACAGAGGAATTGGGCTAGAAATATGCAAACAACTGGCTTCCAATGGAGTCACTGTAGTATTGACGGCAAGGGATGAGAAGAGGGGCGCCAAAGCAGTCAGCGCGCTTGGGCTATCCAACGTCGTATTTCATGAGCTGGAGGTCAGCGTTCCGTCAAGCGCTGCACGCTTAGCTGATTTTTATTAAGGAGAAGTTTGGCAAGCTGGATATATTGGTAAGGAGATATGATTTCCCCTTCTTCGTACTGCAATTATGCGCAATTCATACATGTGCTTTTTCTCGAACACGCAAAAGATTTGTACGGGTTCGTACATGTTCTTGTGGTAAAGATGTGAGTAGTTTAAAAAAAAAGGAAAAGATGTAAGTGGTTTTTCAGTAGCTTTGGATTATTCGTATTCTGACTTCAAGATTCTTTATTTACTTTTTTTCGAACAAACATTCTTTATTTACTGGTGGTTGTCGATCGATTTATGCTTTTGCAGGTCAATAATGAAGGAATTACTGGAACGACGTGGAGCGTCGGCGACCCAGAAATTTTTCGTCAAAAGGTTAGTTAACCAGTAACTACTCTGCATGCAAGGGTTTCACTTAAAGAGAGTAACAGCATTTTATTATTAGGGGAAAAAAAAGGTCTATCAGTATATAAAAGATACAAATATTTTTGTTGTCTGGAAACAGCTCGCGGGCATGGATCTCATGGAGAGGATCGAAACAATCAATAAGCACATCACGGAACCTTATGAGGAAGCAGAGAAGTGCTTGAGGACCAACTACAATGGGATCAAAGCTGTCGCAAAAGCATTGCTTCCTCTTCTGCAGTCCTCATCCCATCGAAGGATTGTTAACATGTCATCTGACTATGGACTACTCAGGGTAAATGGCCGGCGTATATATAGGTCATCCCACATGTCATCCTTCAAAATAGAATCAAGTGCAATATTTATATATGCAAAAGAAAAAAGTTCAGAACATTGCAAACCAAGAAATAATTCCACCCTGCTCCAGTTTTTCAGTGGAGATGAACTTAAAGCGGAGCTCAACAATATCGACCGTTTGTCTGAACACACACCGGACGAGTTGTCCGAATTGTTCCTCGAGGACTTCAAGGATGGCCAACTGGAGGCTCGAGCACTAGTAGAGAACAGACTTTTCATCCTAGATTAAAATGGGTTCTAGTCCTGACATTTTTTGCGCCTGGGATTAGAGAGACCTTTAGTCCTGGTTGGTGTCTCCAACCGGAACTAAAGGTCCCTGCCCAACGGCTACTGCGCTCGGCACAGTGGCATGAGACCTTTAGTCCTGGTTGGAGACACCAACCGGGACTAAAGGTGGACCTTTACTCCCGGTTAGAGCCACCAACCGGGACTAAAAGTCCTCCAACTTTTAGTCCCGGTTGGTAACACCAACCCGGACTAAAGGTCCCCCGATGGGTTAGTTCAAAAGGGAAGCATCCCATCCATTGTTAGATGTGTTGTGTAGGTGGGGTGTGAAAGGGTCGAGATGGCGGACTAGAGGGGGGGTGAATAATCTTTTCTAAAATTAATCGCGTCGGCTAACCGATATAAATGCGGAATTAAAACAATCGGTCTAGCCAAGACTACACCCCTCTATATATGTTCACTAGCACCTTGCAAAGATACTAATAAAGGAACTAAAGTGTCGGGCTAGCTAAAGCTCTCCTAAACAATTCTAGGAGCAAGGTCACATAAACCTATGCCACTAGTACTTTAAGTAACAAGGGAGCTCCTACACATGCTAGTAAGCAAAAGCACAAAGCTAACTAAGCTCACTAGCAATGCTCAATAACAAGGCAACCAACGCCTAATTAGAGAGCGCAAATACTTAGCTACACAAACTAAGCAATTTAACTAACAAGGTTACTAAAACCAAATTAACCACGCAAGGGAGCTACTTCTATGCTACACAAGCAAGAAAGTAATTAGCTAGCTACACAAGCTATCTAATTATAAGAGCAACTACACAAGCTTAAGATATATATATATATAAGTAATTGCAAGCTTGTGTAATGGGGATGCAAACCAACGGGAAGAACAAGGTTGACACGATGATTTTTCTCCCGAGGTTCACGTGTTTGCCAACACGCTAGTCCCCGTTGTGTCGACCGCTCACTTGGTGGTTCGGCGGCTAATTAGCATCACCCGCTAAGCCCGCACGTCGGGCACCGCAAGAACCTACCCCTTGAGTGAGGGTAGCTCAATGACACGCTTTACTAAAGTTGCTCTTTGCGGCTCCCGCGAGGCGAGCACAATGCCCCTCACAAGCACTTCTCCGGAGCACCGCACAAGCTTCTTGCGCGCTTCGACGGAGACCACCACCAAGCCGTCTAGGAGGTGGCAACCTCCAAGAGTAACAAGCACCACCGGCTCGCAACTCGATCACCTAGTGCCACTCGATGCAACCTCACGATGCAATCGCACTAGAATCGCTCACTCACACAATCGGATGATCGCTATCAAGTATGTGTGTGATGGAGGGCTCCCAAGCACTCACAAGCATGGACACTAAGTCCTTTGAGGTGCTCAACACCAGCCATGGCCGAGGGCCACTTCTATTTATAGCCCCAAGGGCTAAACTAGCCCTTACCCCTTCACTGGGCAACGGTCGGGCCGACCGGACGCTCCGGTCGTGTTGACCGGACGCTGGACCTCAACGTCCGGTCGCCCGCAGACGGCCACGTGTCCTGATTCCAACGGTCACTTGACCTGACCGGACGCAGCAGCTTCAACTGACCGGACGCTGAACCCCCAGCGTCCGGTCGTTTCCAATAAGGTACCGACCTCGACCGGACGCGTCCGGTCACACTTGATCGGACGCAGCCAGCGTCCGGTCACACTCCAGCTTCTGCGTTATCGTACGTCAGCCTGACCGGATGCAGCCTGCCAGCGTCCGGTGCATTCAGATCCAGCGTCCGGTCAGTTGACCGACGCTATCATCTTCGCGACTAACTCGTTTTCACTTCTAACTTCGTCACCCTTGCTCCAATGTGCTAACCACAAGAACTTGCATCCGGTGCAATAGAAAAGAGGGACCCAAACCCATCTCACCCCTGCAAACACCACCTCCTTTGTAAATGTGCCAACACCACCAAGTGTACACCACCATGTGTATGTGTGTTAGCATTTTCACAATCATTTCCCAAAGGATGTTAGCCACTCAACTTGCCACGCCACTAGATCCTAGCGACAATACAAAGTTAGATCACTCGAGTGGCACTAGATGACCGATATGCAAACAAGTTTGCCCCTCTTGATAGTACGGCCATCTATCCTAAACCCGGTCATAAACTTCTCTACACACCTATGACCAGTGAAATGAAATGCCCTAGGTTATACCTTTGCCTTGCGCATTCCATTCCATCTCCTCCAATGTCGATGCAACACATGCACCAACACTATCAACAATGATATGATCCACTTCATATCATCACGTGATCATATTGGTTCATCGATCTTGACTTCACTTGCCCTTCACCGTTGCCATCGTCCATCGGCGCCAAGTCTTGCTCAAGCTTCACCGCCACGTGGTCCATCACTCCAAAGCCTTCGACTTGCCCTTCACGCTTGCAACCGGTCCATCAAGCCAAGTCTTGTCTTGATCTTCTCTACCTTGATCACATGACTCAATGTCATGTCTCATGTGCGTTAAGCTCCTTCATCATCACATGTGTGAGCTTTGCAACATCTCTAAGCCATTTTCACCTTCATGGCATATGTTGCTCATACAGATGTACCTGTGGACTAATCACCTGTGTATCTCACATAAACACAATTAGTCCACCTAGGTTGTCACTCAATTACCAAAACCAACAAGGACCTTTCAGGGTGGTAAGCTATGCGCAAGGCAATGCATGAGGTCTTGGGTTCGAATCTCACGGGACGCAACGGTGGGAGGCATTATTTTTTTTAAAGCTGGGTGGACCTTTAGTCCCGGTTGGTGTTATGACCTTTAGTCCCAGTTCCCGACCTGGGACTAAAGGACCCCCTTTTAGTCCCGTATGCTTACTCCCGGGTGGGGAACCGGGACTAGAGGGGGTTCTCCACCGGGAGTAAAGCTCGTTCCTCCACTAGTGGAGGGTGGCCTATGGGAGGGTTCAGTGCATACAAAGTGTCCAAGGCTCTCATGAATGCCTATTCTTGGATCCTTGCGAAGGAGCACCCGTCGTTGTGCATCAACTGCGTGCATCCTGGCTACGTCGAAACGGACATGAACTTCCAGGTTGGGCATCTGACGGTCGAGGAGGGCGCAGGGGGAGCTCTCATGATGGCGATGGCACCCAAGGGAGGCGTCATTGGCGCGTACATGGACAAAACCGAGGTCGCGTCATTCGCGTAATGCGCTCACACCGTTAGTCCGCAAGACAAGACATGGACCGCATCATCAAAGATGGCCCAGCCCATAAGATTAAGGTGTGCACTGCAAAGCTACAAGAAGATGTCATTTATTGCATAATACTAAATAGGATATTTTTCTTATAACCCTACCTCTCCAGAGTATATAAGGAGAGGCAGGAGTCCCCTAGACCAGATATCGAATTTGATATACAATCAATACAAAATAACAAAGCACATGACGTAGGGTTTTACGTCATGTTGACGGCCTAAACCTGTATAAATATTGTGTCTCTGTTACCATCCGGTTCCTATTACACGCACCACCACTGATTCATCTACTACCTACACGCACCTCCACCGATTCATCTACTACCGCGGGTATACCCCTCGATAGACTGCTGATCAGATTTCGTCGACAGTGGCGCACCAGATAAGGGGTGTGCATGCTGATTCCATGGCAAACCAGATGACGTATCTCAAGATCAACATCATCCATGGTTGCTCATTGGCCTGAAGCGGGGGATCTCGCTGGCCCTTGTCAACAACTCGCCGCGGATGACCACCAACCGTTGCATCAGCTCGAACTCCCTGCGCTACGTCGAGATCAACCGCACAGATCGACTCGGCAAAGAAGGGCACGACGACCTCAACAATCCACAGCCAGGATGTGTTTCACCGGCCGGCTGATCCAGCTCGGCTACCCTTTCTGGCTCGCAACTCGCCGCTGACGCCGATCCGTCTGGTTGTTGCGGAACACGAAGTAGCACCGCCGAACGTCCAGGATGTTGGGCCTCTTCTCCGTTCAGATGCGACTCACCTCAAGCAGGTGCCTAATCTCGCTTGGCCCCACGCTAGTCGACTTTGGTCCTGGATCCTGGATAGCAGCATCAAGCAAGGTGCCTGCTCCTCGATGGGACGCACCTCACCTACAAGCTAGCTAGCGTGCGGCCGGCAGCGCAGCCGGGTCAGCTGTCCAAGCCTCGACGGATTAGCTGCATCTGCACAGGAGTCCTACTCTGACTCGGCCGAGCATGCGCAGGAGCCCTATCCTGACTCAATCGTACATACGTGATGGCTCTTGCTCGTCACCATATCCATCGACGCCAACCGATCTACATGCAAGCCAATAACAAGCAAGCAAGAAGGACGCACGATATACGCCACCATGCAAGCTAGCTTTCACGTACCTCAGACATGCAAGGGGATTGACTTGCATATACATGCATCATTGCCTTCACGATCACGTGCATGGCTACTACTTGGTGCCGTTCAACACGTACAATGCCACAGTCATCAAAGCAATTCAAGATCAATTCTTCTACGCAGCAAGTCGCCCGACCACATCGAGCGAGCTACCAAGCGAGCCGCTAAGCAAGCCGTTCGAGCCATCAAGCGAACCGCACAAGTCTAAGTGACATAAGGACGACGTCGCCCAGACTACTTACTCCGACCACCTGCCGCGTCGCAATGATGATCGCCGCGATGAACGGCGCAACGATGACCGCGACCGCCGCCATGACG